CCCCCCCTGCCCTCGCCTGGTCCGCGGTGCTCTACAGCCTGGCGAGGCTGGCAGCGATAAAAAGAGCCTCCGGAGAGTATGACGGTGTGGCGTGCCGCTTAGGAAACATGGCTTCTTGAATTTAGATTAAGACTGGAGAGACCACGTTGTTTTACTTTATATTACTTATAGAGAGGGGTAAGTCAACCTGTAGCTTGTTGGTTATCACAGTTGGAGCTGTTTGGCGTGCAGAAGCAGGGATTTCACAATTGTTTCCATTTCACAGCGGAGTTGCCTTCCTTCTCCGCTCACGGTTGCCCGTTCTCGATTCGGTCTCGGACTCAGGTGCCCATTTTAAAGCCGGTGTCTCGTCGCCCGCCACCAAACGAGAGGCGAATAGGTGTGGACGAGACCCAGCGGCCCTGGACAGGACTCTGCTCTCAATTCGGTGTGCTGAATTTTCGGAGTCCCCATCTGGCGGAGGCTCGTTTCAAATGCCACATGTCAAAGGGATGGATGTTCAGGGATCATGAGCTCTCGCAGCAGAAAAGCTAAACTGAGCTGCAGGTTCTGCACACCTCATCCCCCGACCCGACTTTGCCCCTCTTTCAGGCAGCATGAGAAGGCTTGTTCTGGCCGGCGGTCGGCATGAACTGACTCGCTGATGAGTCTGGAGCATGAACATCAACTTGGAAACGAATCTTGGGAAGAGGAGCAGCTCCACCTGATGCAGCAACCCTGCGTCCGTGGAGAGCTTCCTGTTTCAGGTCCATTACAAGTGCTGCTGGAAAGAGGTCATTAGACATCCAAAGACTGTGATATTGGCACGGCATTAAGTATGAATTTTAAGTAAATTCTATGGCTTTCAGGAAAGTGGGTGAACTGCGGAGTAGTCACAATCTTAAGAATGATTTTTCAGTTCTCTTCATACTTTCAAAAGCCTGATTTCTCTGGGCTTCAACGTCCCAGCCTGACAGTTCTAAGAACAGCGGTCTCAAATAATTTCAGGTCTCCAGGGCCAGTTAAGAGTCTGGGCGTTTGTGATTTGAGGAGCTGATCTATAGCAACGGAGAACATTCTCATGCAATCCAGGCTAAAATGTTGGCCCTAGCTAAAGTTTTAAAAGGCAGTTTTACCAGAAGGTGGCAACTATGAAGGTGTACTTCGAATTGCAACACCTTTTAGCTTTGCAAAAGACTTTTCAGTGTTAATTTGAGTCTTTTGCAGACAGTCCTATAAGTATTGATTATGATAAAGTGGATTAAAATCGACTTGACTAAAACTTACCTAATTGTTATTTTCCCCCAAAACATATTCTTCGGTTGTAGCTAGCTACCTCCCTATACATGGGTTATGTTCATGGTTTATAGGACTATATACGGGGAAAAAAAAACACTTATGGCAATACTTTTTTGATACAAATAGTACTTTACTGATTATTTTAAAAAACTCTGGTCCCATTGTGTTTATACCAGTAATTTGAATAAAGGAGGCGGCAATTATAAGCCTAATTACCTAATTATAAGGTAATTATAAGGTGGTAATTATAATTTTTATTTTCATTCATTAGCAAAGGTTCCTCAGAGAAACCAATTGACGTTGTCAACGCTTTAAAAAGATATAATTAGTATAATTTTGCAGCATATTCTTCATGCACCTGTATGGAATGATATTATTTGCTTTGAAAGACCACTGGAAGTGAATGGTACAAATTACAATAGCATGATGTGGTTTGCACGTACAAGAGAGTTGTCTCATTCAGTTAATTTTGCTCCAGTGCCGAACTAAAAATATGTCCATAGGTAGGTGTTTGCAGTTGCTCATATGTACTGAGCACCAAAAGAAACTTTTTCACTATTAGGACAAATGCATGTTCTTAAAAATGTCATATATACAGGTTTTGCAGATAGATGACATGTTTTATGGTGTCATTTTGATTAATTATTCGTGATAGGTCCAGGATAACAGTCATCTGCCTTTGTCATTTCACTGAGTCAGTAGTGAGAGAATTGATTGAGCCACAGGTAAATGTTCAATTGTAACTGGTTGAGCGACAAGCTGGGTGAGTCTGTGGTGGGACCAGGGGTTTGTGACAACACGGGCGATTTACATTACTCTACGAAGTTCACCATTCTGTGCTCAATTCAGAATTTATGAAATTGTGCAATACCGCCAATTAATTTCATTTGTTTCCGAGACTTCATAACCGGTCTGAGAAGCTGGGACTGCAGTTTCCCTCTAACACAAAAGGCCTGGTGTGGCAGTAGAGCTGTGTCCGTCCTGCTTGCTAGCCTGCAGCCCTGGTGATCATCTGTGGAAAGAGCTGGGGTGAGTGTGGGGCATAAAGGATCCAGCAGCCCGTGAACAGGGGCGTGCTTGCTTACTCAGGCCCTGTTAGGATCTGCAACCTCGGGGCTCTGTGATGTGCGTGTGTGGGCCCTGTGGTGGGCTGGCGTCCCGTCCACCGGCCCCCCCGCCACCCTGAGTTGGAAGGAGCGGTTAGAAAATGGACTTATGGGTGGAGGATCACAATAAATAAAAGGCAACCCCGATATCCGTCCATGCACTGTCAGAAGGCACTTGGTCAAATACCAGTTCCCAGTGTGCCCTGCCCGGGTGGGGCCCACAGGCCTGCGCAAGGTGGGTGAAAGCAGCGGTTAACCCAGACAGCCGGTCTTGGTAGGACTGTGGTAGGAAACTAGGAGCACCCGGACAAAGCCGGCATGGCCTCAGGGAGCTCATGCAGACACCCCACAGAAGGTGACCAGGCCGGAATCGAACCGGGAACCCGGGCAGGAGCTGCGAGGTCACGGCCATGAGCGCTTGGAGTCGGGGAGGCTTGTCCGGTGGGGTAGGGGGTGTTGGCGGTTTTCGCCGGTGTGTCTCTGCGTCCTTTCAGCCGGAAAAAGACGCGCGCTCTTATCGAGGGAGCGGAGGTGCCAGCTGAATTCCCGCACGGCCGTCACCCACAGGAATCCGCCGCCCTGTCAGCTCCTGTCAGGAGTGCAGGGAGGAGGAGGAGTGTGTTATGTGACTGGACGGCACTGGAAAGAGCCTGAGCATGGAAACTCTGCAAGCGGGGCAGCCCATTGTCTGCGTTCCCCTTCTCGCTGGCCTCCTCCAGCAGACAGTTCCTTTAGCTGCATAAACTCTTTGTCGTGCTGATGCACCAGTTTTCCAAAGTGAACCCGGCCCATCTATCAGCTGCGGAACCTGACCACTTTGTCATTCGGTCTGCGCAGGCCCTTCTGCATCTTGACTTTTAAACTGCTTCAATTACTGGTTCTTCAATTCCTGCTCAACTTATTTCCAACCTGTTACCAAACCATGAAGCTAAAGAACAATTGTCCAAATTAAGTTGGACGCAATACAGTACAGACAGGAGCACATGAAGGTACAGCTAAAATACAGTTTTGGCTGCACAGATCTGCTAAACGTTACTGAATCGAAACAGGCAGTTGCATTGTCCTGAAGTGTCTGAGTTAGGGGAGGGGAGGGGACAGATGTGGTATTTTATCGAGAGTGAGGGAAGGGAGATAAGATGCATTTTCCCCAAGCGTAACAGTTCCTAGAAGTTAGGAGTGGGGGGCAAAAATGGTTTTCTGCTGCTTTCGGAACTGGAGGCGTTTAGAAGTCAGCAAAGTAACACTTCCGCACAGAAAATTAGATGACCGATGTCCGCCGGACACATCTATTATGGTTTGTGGCATGCAAAGAGCATTTAGTTCGTCCAATC